CCTGACTCAGGCAGTGCAGACATGGTCACTGAGGAGCAGTAAGTGTTTATTTAAAGTGATGCTCTCATCTTTGCTTCTGGATGCTTCTGGAAGGAGGAATTAGCCATGGTAGTAGGGAGGCTCTTCATCAGGGTTCTGTCTTCTTGTTTATATAGTTTGATGTTCCACCATTAAAGTGTAATTGTGAGTTCAAATCCCTGATTCTCAAGGCAACTTATATGTATCACTTTGAGTCTTTATTAATAAAAACTGTGATGGAATTTTAGGCATCAGCAATAGTGGATAGGATAGTAGTGGGAAATTTTCTTAAGGGGAACAGTGTGTTCTTGCTATCTCCACCTTCACATCCAGGATTTATGTCACGGTATCTAGCATTGCCTATAAATAAGATTAACTCTGATAAACTTATGTACTAAAATACCATTTCCCTTTCTACACCAAAACTTTGCCTTGCACCTGTCATGTAACGGATGTTTAAGACATATTTGTTGAATGTTGACTGAAACACAGATTACAAATTAGAGAGATATGATAAGTATCATTAAATTTTTTGCTAGATTTAAGGTAAGGTTGGTCAGTTCAACTGTCTATGATTAGCTGATGGTGATTCCGGCCTGTAATACTGCAGTCTATTATTCAAGTTATAATTACATTGACTAGGGTGATTTGTAATTTTAAACAAAGAAAAAGGAAACCAATGAATTTGGTTTAATACCTGGAAGACTTGGAATGCTGAAGAAATATGTTTCAAATTAGAGTATTTTTAAGAGAACCCAGGGGAAATATAGTGAACCCAAAACATATCACTTATGGCAATAAGAATAATTTTCAGATTGAAAGGAAAAGGCTATATATGTCTTAGAGATGCATAAAGCCTAAGATAGATGAGGGTCTAGAAAGATCACCTAGTTGCTCTAAATAAGTTCATATTTCCTGGCCTAGAAAAATTGTATCTCAAAACAGATGAAATTTCTACTTCTATTGCAAAACTATTGTAAATGATGGGAAATAAGAGATTGGCCAGAAAAAAAGAAGCAAGCCATATGTTCCACTTAAAAAAAACCCAAAAATGTGGAAGGTAAATTCTGAAAATTATGGCTTATACTCCTAGTTTGTGAATGTTTACAAAAATAGTTATAACTGAACATCAGACATTTTCTTCAAGCAACCGACATTTATTGAATGTCTTCTAATTTCTAGTTTTTGTGATATCTTTCACAATATCATGAACAAGGAGATATGTGAAGTGTAATGACATGTTTCTGTGAGCTCACATGTGTTTCAAGTGTCCAATCTAAAGCATTCTCAAGGTCACTCTGTATTCCATCACCTTATTTCAATTTTCTGCATATTATTTGTCCCTGTATGACTTTTCTTTTGCTTTCTTATTTGTTTATAGTTAGTCTCCATTCATTAGGACATAAACTCTAGAGCGTAAAGACTTTGTATGTTTTATTTACTTCTGAATCTAATAGTTACAGCAATGCATGTCACAAAGCAGATACTCGATAATATTATATTTTATCAAATGAATCCATTAGTTGAACTGCTGTATCCACATAGATTTACAGTGTTGATTGATGCCCACCAGATAGGCAGAACCCAGTAGGTAATAGCTCCCTATCCCTGGTATATGACTTGAATGAAGATAAAAATGACATGCCCACCAAAATGGCTCATGACATAACATAAAAATTGTTATCTTCTTAGTTTACAATGACAAACCAAATCTAGTCAGATGAAATTGGATAGAGATAATGCCTAAAGTACTATTTTGGGATCTAAAGAACAAAAGCATAACTACAGGGTACAGTTTAATTTCAATAACAAATGTTAAAAACATGAAAGGATTAGAGATTTTAGATGATATCATAGCCAGTGTAATCTAACAATATGAAATAATTCCAGCTGCATTCTCATGTATATTCTAAACTCACCACAAAAACCAAGGAGACAATTCCAATGATTATCATCTTCATTGCATGAATTGCTTTATTGTCAGTATCATGGAGGTGATGATTATATTCTACTTTGTGTTAAAAATACATCTAGTTAAACACACATCTTTTCAAAATTTAAAAGAATATTGACAGAGGGAAATGATGAGGAGAGTGAAATTCTTCACTTGAGGATTGGTAAGGAGGGGTTGGTGGAAAGAGCAGTGTAAGTACCATGCAGAGGAGTTCTTAGCATGCATCATGACTCGAAGGCATTAGAAATAGGACCAATGGAGTAAGTTAATGGGGAGCTTGTTTTGGCTCAATATTAGGTAGAATTTTATACCCGTTCAAACATTTAGACCTAATTGTGCTGCCTTAGGAGGTAAGCAAGTGTTCATGTGGTGGCTGAACAGACGATCAGAGAGATTCATGTCTTGGATGAGGGGGTTAAACCCTTCAGATGGCATCCAGTATCACTTCCGATTCTAAGATTTTATGCCACGATATGTACAAAAACAAAATACCTGTCTGTACAGGCTTCTCCAACTATAATCTTTAGGGCAGCTAAAGATAGGAGAACAAACATTATAAATGGTTATACATCCTGAAATGAGAGGCAAGGTGATATGGCAGATAAGTGCACTGTTGAGCTGGAGCGCCTGCTTCCAAATCCTAGCTGAATTACTAGCTAGTGACTTTAGATAAGTGATTTATCATCTCTGCACTTTAGTTTCCATATACAAAATGGAGATAGAATAGTATCTACCCAATAGGCTTGTTGTGATAATTAAATGAGATAATACACATTTAGAACTTTTAGAATGATACCTGGCTCGTGTGATTGCTAGTTATTGTTGTTTATTGAAACTGTTATTACAATTAAATATCCATAAAACTATAATGGAGTTTAATGATGTGTCGTATTTTGTGTTATTTGTCTGTTTAGATATTCTGTGGGAGAACATATTATAAAGTATTGATACTGGATCCAAGCAAGGCTGAGTGCCAAACCGGTTGCCACTCCTTCTGGGCTGTGAAGTCCCTAAGAGTATACGTGACCTTATCACGTCTCCTTGTTCTAATGACTCTTTAGTTATGGGGCTTCTGTAAAATGAAATGAGGCAATGTGTATAATTTGCCTAGTACAGATGTCAGCCCTTATTCCCGTTGAAGACATGGCATTTCATTTTCAGTCCAAATATGCTTATCCAAACGTGTTGTTGTCTTGAGACCTTAGCAGCACAGGTTCAAGACAGAGACTTAAGGCTTAAAGGGACCTGAGACTCTTCCTCCAGGTTTGGCATTTAAATTTTTACTTCAACTTCTTTCTAAGGAAAATGAGTATGCCAGCCTCTTACTTTCCACACACCAATTTAATGAAGGTTACTTAAATTATATCCCTAAAACTCAAGGTTTTTGTTTGTTTGTTTGTTTGTTTGTTTTATTGGGGAATTGGGGAATGGGAACAGCGCTGAGGAATTGGGGGAAGGGGAACAGACAAGTTGCTGTCGTTTTGTTCTTCAGTCTAGTTGTGGAGGACGTTGCTTCACTGGCCCAAGTTGGCACCATTATTGCGCTCTTCCTGGGCGAGGCAGATCAGTCGCTGGCTTCTGGACGGCCGCTCACTGCGGCTGCTGGCCGCTCACGCTGGCTGCTGGCTACACATGGTAGCCCATGGCAACTCATTGCCACTGGGGCTGCAGCCTACACCGTCGCTGGCAAATCACGGCAGCCCAGCTCCAGGTTGAGCTGTTGTTCAGAATCTTAGCTGTGGAGGGCAGTGTCACTGGCCCTCATATGTGGGATCCCAACCGGGGCCCTTTGGTGTCCCAAGCCAGTTCTTAACCATCGTGCCACTCGGCGGGCCCTAAAACTCAAGGTTTGATTGGATTGGATTACCCTATCTTCTGGAAACCCTTTGGTCTTTGAGGGACTGAGACAGCTTGGAGCAGTGTGCCAATTACTCCCTGACGCAGAGCTCCTGGGGAAACTTCCTAAGGCAGGGGCTTCTGAAGTAATTGGAGCCTTGAACTTAATTATGCAGCTTGGGACTCAGAGCTATACCAAAACTGGGCTTTTGATTATGCATATTATCCTGATTTCTACAACTTCCTTATTCTCAACCCTTTCCCCCAGATACTATACAAAACTAAACTACATTACTCTGAGTTTTACTTAAAACTCAGGCCACTTTATTGTTTGCTTCATTAACATTACTGTATTAAAAAATGCAGAAGATAATAAAGTTTAAAACATGAATTTAAGAGCATTCTAGTTTTTCCATTTTGGAGTTAAATTGATGAAATTACTTCTATTCAAAATATCGGGGGTGCCAAAAAATTGTGTACACATTTAAAAAGGTGTTATCTATGCCCAAGCAGTAGTTCGCCATAATCAGAAGTGTCTGGACGCTGATGGTAACTTTGCACACCTCTTGTAATTGTAAAAGTCAAATGTGACTTGTATTCATCTTTTATTATTGGTATATATTGAGTATTATAGTTAATACAGTTTTTTTCTTTCTTAAAATGTGTATACATTTTTTTTTGGCACCCTCTGTGTGTTGCTTATTGAAAGCACTACTAAATTTTATGTATTCTGATCTTTGTTTATATGAATGATGTAAGAGAATGTATTAAGAGTTCAACATAATTAACATAATATTTGTTAATTATGGCACTAAAGAAGAACCACTTTCCTTTGAGAAACAAGCAACCTCCCCCCACAGTTATAGAATAGTACTCCTATAAGGGAATGCTGCTAATGAGAAATTTACACATAGCTTTGCAGAAATTGATATTTTTAAGTTCTGAAACTATATATCACATAATTACCTATAATCCCTAGGCTGATATTTTACTGCAATATGTCTTTGTTTCTCATTCTAATAAAATATTAACATGGTGAGCTAATTTTTCTGTTATAAGCAAGTTGTTCAAGCGTAATAACTCTTTTCTTCATTTTATAACTTGTCATTTAACCTGGTAGAACTAGTCTAAAATTATGTCATATTCTTTCCCCTTTTCATCTCCACTCTTGCTTTCTGGTTACTCATTCCAGCAATACAAGACCAAGTCAAGCTACAAGGCTTTTGCAGCAATCCCTACAAACATATTTCTTTTGGAACAGAAGGTCAGTGTTGGCTCAAAAGCAGAGCGAATTTTGTGATTGTAATGTTATTTTTGTTATAGTTTCTAAAATTTTTGTTTTAAAGTTCTGCCTGTACTGAAATAAAATGCTGCTCTTTGTTTAGGATGATGGAATAAAAGCACCTTGGTGAATAGAGTTGAAGGCATCATTGATTTATCACTAGAGGCTAGATATGAGCCTAGAGTTGTCCAGTCCAAGGACAACTGGGAAACTTGATTCAGATTTGGATAGGTCCTTGTCTTTTGGAATTTTCAATGGTTGTTATATTCAAAAACTTCTACCTCTATTTACATTGGTCAAAAGAGTAGAGCTAAAATGGTGTGACATGGGCAACTGGCCACCTTGGTTAAGACTTGGTGATTCATATCATCTTCCACAGGGTAGAAACATGTTAGCCTAGTATCCAGCTTAGCCCCTTAGGTCCCATCATGGGCTAAACCTCTATCCACCCTGATCTGCCACTAATCCTACTGCCATGAATGGGGGGGAAGGACGAAAATCACTTCCAATGACCCAGCTGCTTTCACATGGCTCCAGGGCATTTTCGCTTTGCTTTTCCGAGTCATTAATTATAACATTACAGGGATTCTGCATCAGTAGGTAAATTAAATTAAAGCCTCTTGTTCAATAAGCACATTACAGTTGCTTAAATGAAGGCCAAATGGAGGGTCATATAAGAATTGAAGTGAACTCAATTACCAAGTCTATGAAATTATTCATTTTATATGCTATTTTTATGATATTTATTTAGGCAATTTCTCTCAGTGCATTAAGCCCATTTTTTCTATGTAACCAGTATTTCAAATAGTGTTATTATCATTTGTCAAAGGTTAATGTTTGCCAACCAGGTGGTATTTTGATCATTGGCTTCTGAATCTACGTTTTTGTTATTTTAGCATGACCTGAGGAATAAAACCTTTGTATAATCTCTTGACTAAAAAGTAGGAATTGTTAGTGGGAAATGCTAAGTAACATATTGGTGAACATTATTGGGCAACATTTATTATGTCATATATCACTAATAACTAATTGCAAATTATCCACATGTGGTCCATAATCTATGCTCTATATATCTGAATGCTTTGAACTGAGGGGAAGGGGGGTCACTGGGCTACAGGGAAATCTGCAGTTTCTTCTCTAGCTCCTCTTCTGGATTTCTACCTTTTATAGCTCATTAAAAGAGACATGAGCCTATCACGCTGATTGCAGGAAGCTTTAGGAGGTTGTAGGAAGTGGCACTTTCACCAGTTGCCCCTTCTCCTAAATGCCTATTATTATCCTGAGTCATAATAGCAGTGTTCCCTCACCACAGACCTTCTGCCCATTTGAGACAAATTTCTGAAATCTGGTCACAAGGTCTGCCTTCACAGAAATGAGAGAAACTCTCCCCGCTCATCCGCCAGGTAAAAAGGAGAAATAGGGGCCTGTTGTGTCATGGTGTCCTTCCATTAAACTTATCTCACCCAAACTGGCATATTCTCCTGTGCCTGTGTGGTATTACTACATTAATTTTCCATTTAGAAAAAAATAAGTTGATTCTTCTTGAAAGCCTTTTGTAAGATAAAGCTGGATGTCATCATTGGCTCTAGAATCTCTGTCTATCAGCTCTCTTTCAACTAAATGGATTTTAGAGATTGTAATCTATTAGTCATTAAAAATGAGGAATCATTAGTTTACTTTCCAATTTTATTACAGACCCATTTCATAAATGTGTATGGTGGCATCACTGTATATTTAACCTAATACAAATTCATATGGGAGAGGTTTTGTGTTTTTAATTTTGAGTAAAGCATACTTTTAATGAAATTTGTTTTTAGTACAACAAAAAATATAAATGATGCTTAATTTAAAAATCATATTATTCTAGGGAGGATTGATTACTATACAAACAATAATGTGGGTAATTTTTTCTTGGCTAGGATAAATTGTCTTTGGACCATAAATATTTGAATTGTTCAAAGGTCACAGGTATGACATGATGTTTGCTTTTGCTTTACAGCCTTTGTATAATTTCACATTTTGTTTTTTTTGCTGGCTTTCCCATGTTATGTTTTCTTCAATGACAAACTTTACTTTGTAAGAATTTTTAAATAATGAAAATCTTATCCCCAGATTTGATGAGTTTATTTCCATTTTCACTAAATTTCTTGAATGATATTGTCTGGCCCCTTTCATGGTTGTAGTTTTAAAAAAACTAAATATGGTAATTTCGAGCTGTTTACCCATCTGCTTATACAATAGAACTCATTCTATGCTTTTGAAATCAAAGGAACTTATTTCTGAATTGAGTGGGAAAATTAAGACTATAATCATCAGAAACTCATCTATTTTGGGAAGAATTAACATTTGGAATATTTTAAATCACCGAAACTTTCCTGAGGTCCCTTTAATATCACACAGAACATTACAATTAAGGGGTAGGGTGATGCTGTGGTTCTCTTTATAATAATCTGTTCAGGTGTATGCTGTAGAATGCCTTGAAGAAAGAACTAACATACTATTTCATTCAAGTCTTAGTTCAACAATTTCTTCCCTGCCCCAGTCAGGGTTGACATTTTATGCAACATTCTGTTTTATATGATATAGTATAATTATTGAGGAACCAGATTCATTTAAAAAAAATACTATTTTTAAAAGCAAGATTTTCTCCAAATTGAAATACAATCATCATTTGCAATGAGACATTAAGCTATCATTGAATCACTGGATTGGTTTCAGATTTAATCACCCCTAGATGAGGCACATAATTTTCAAAAGAGTACATTTTGTTGGCAGGAGATATGAGGTTTCTGGTACTTCTATTCTATACTTTATTTTCTTCATCAAAACTTAAATTTATAGCTTATTTAATATTCTATCTTTTTTCCTCCCCCATTTAACTTAAGTCTTAATTCAGGCTTTACAGGAAGGGATAAATCTAAGGTACCACATTTTAACATGTTTTTATTAGGGTCTTTGGCTTAATCTCCTGCCAATAATCATCTTCTCCAAGATTGAGATGAGGATGAAATACAAGCAATTATAAAGCAGGAACAAAGTAATCAGATTAACTTGTATTTGTGACTGTTCATGGACCATATTTCAATTTGTTCAACAACATACTGAGCTCTGTAGAGAGAATAATTTTGATATGGAGATTATTACTTAGTCTTTGTGCATGATATTGTTCGTTTCAGATAATGTTAGAAGTGTGTCTTGTATTGACTACTTTTTCTTCTCATCTGAGTCTGATAGCAATAGATAAAAAGTTAAAATTAAATGGAAGTGTACATATTAATATTCTAAATAAACAGATCGTTATTTTTATTGTGCACTTCTATTCAGGAAAAGTGAAGGAATATTTCCATGAAATCATGTAATGTATGTCTTTATTGTCCCAGAAGTGATTAATATTTTTCCATGTAATTACAAATGTTTGTCTTGAAAGTAATTTGAGTTCTCTGCTTCCTTCCCCACAAGTATTCCTTAGGATAAAATTAAGGCTAGGATTAGTAGTGTTTTCCAACAAATGGCATTTTCAAGATACATTTAATTCATAAACTATGTGTGTTTGAAAGAAAAATTCTAGAGGAGCTCAATTTTATAAATAACATATATAAATTACAGGATTAATTATTTAAATAAAAGTTATGAGAGAAAATTTATTTTTTTATGGATGGATGGAAGGATGATAAGAATAGCCATTTTGAAGACTGCTATAAATACAGAAATGTAAAGATTTGAGATATCTAGTCAGCTGTCAAATCAATTTATTCTAAGTTGCCAGTTTAATTCTTTGAGATGTGAGTTGGTAAACTCCAATCTGATTAAACATATGTCTTTGAGTGAGACTATTTTAATATCTTTGAATGTCTCAAAAATTTAACAAAATCTGGTTGCTTAGCATATGGCCTATACTAGAGAGACACTCTTAATTTAGATTAGTATAAATAGTGAATGTTCCCATTTTCTATAGCAGTGGAGAAGTGCCAGAACCCAAATCAATACTAATTGGTTCTCTTTAGGCAATTGTCTAAAATGTACATATCTCTTTTAAAGTACTTACCAAACCATATTTAATCATACATATTGGTTGCTTTTTTTTTCTTTACCATGAACTATTTGAGAGAATATAGTAGATTTTTGCTAAATGTTTATTGAATGAATTAATTTAGTGTGCAGCTGGGTAGTCTCTAAAATGTACAATTTTATTCCACAGGATTTTAAGACAAATATTTGTTCATAGGATTATAAAAATAAAGGGGTCTAGTGTATGACAATTGAGATGAAGACAATTAAGAATCTTCTTTTAGAGTAGAATCAAGCTCATCAATCTGCTTCCATGGAAAGTATATAAAGGGCCTTCTGCTATTAGGGAACTAAGTTGATTTTAGACTTGGCACATTTTAACAATTAGAGAATACATTAAAAATGGCTGCCAAATTGAATACTATAGTGTATCAGACGCTGAGCTAAATGCTTTACTATCCTCACAACTTGGTGAAGATTTTGATGATCAAAGATACCAAGTAGATATCCCAAAGCGTCAGGGGTAGGAAGTTGCTGAATTGGACCTCAAATGGGATCTGACTGTCCCCTCGCCTAGGGGTCGGCAAACTGTAGCTCTTGAGTCATATGTAGCTCTTTGGGTACGTTCCATCTCAAAAGTTGGCTGACCCCTGGAAGAGCCAATCCTGTCCCTCACAACAATTTAAAAATTATTTGAGAGCCATAAATATATTTTTATATAATCACCATTATGTGAATATTATCCCTTAAAAATTTTATAAATGAAACTATGATAGTTTTATTTTCATTTTCAATTTTACTTCAGGGCCACATGTACGTACCTGAAGAGCCACATGTGGCTCATGAGCTGCAGTTTGCTGACCCCTGGAAGCTCTTCTGTCTCAAAAGTATGCTGATCCCTGGGCTAGCCTATCCCTGCTAACCATGCAACAGTGAAATCAACTAGCTACACTGAAATATTGAGCAAGATATGA